GGTAAGAAACAGAGAGGATTAATGAAGAACTGTAAAATTGTGAAGCAGAGTTACAAGTTTTTGTGTGGGAAAAGGTGAGGAAAGTATTATGCTAAATTTATTGTGTTGAAGCTCAGGATGAGGATCCTGTCCAAAAGGAAAGGAGGTTCTGTAGGAGAAAGAAACATCCAGCAGCTGTAAATTAAAGATAATTACAATGAAAGGAAACCCAAGCTTGTCCTCCAGCAGTGCCATGTTTGTGTGCAATGATGGAATTCTGCTGTGGAACCTCCTGGTATCCAAAGTGTGGAGGGGTTTGAAACCTTTCTGACATTCCCTGTGCTGAACAGAGCCATGTCTCCCTAAAAATCCTGCCTGGCAGGAAATCTGAGCCACAGGGAGAGTTCCTGGAGTCCATTGCACTGCAGGGGTTCAGATCAGATCAAAGGGGTTAAAACAGCAAATGTTGCTTGATTTGCTCAAAAAATATTCCCAGGTATTTGCATATCCTGTCAGAAGGGACCTCACAGAAAATCCTTTTCCAAGCCCTGGGGATAGCAGAGCCATCATTTGCCAAGGTGGACAATTAAAGTGTAAAATAATATTAAATAAATAAATAAATAAATAAAAGTGTAAAATAAAATAAAGCAGGTGATGAGTTTTGTCCCTCAGGAATTGAGTCCCAGTTCCATGAGCGCTGCTTTTTGTTTTTGTTTTTGTTTTTTTGTTTTGTTTTTGGTTTGTTTTTGTTTTTGTTTTTTTGGTTTTTTGGCAGATCTTTGATGCTTTCAAGCCTCGTTTGCACGACTCCAACAGCAAAGTGAACCAGGTGGCTTTGGAGGCCCTGCACAAGATGATTCCACTGCTCAAAGATAATTTATCACCCGTGATCAACATGTTAATTCCTGCCATAGTGGACAACAACCTCAACTCCAAAAATCCAGGGATTTATGCAGCTGCTACAAATGTTATCCAGGCTCTGTGTCAGCACTTGGGTGAGCAATTTCCCCTCTCTCTTAATTTGAAACAGTTTTAATTGTGGTGATTGAGTTGTAAATTGGAAGTGTTACTCTTTACAAGAGCTGTTACAATGTGTAAAAATCATTGGGTTTATTCTTACCACACAAATTACCTCCATATTGCTCAGTAGTGCTTTGCTTATTTTTCCACAGAATTTTCTTCTTTACCTTTTCCCATATTGGTTTTATTTCCAGATAATTTAATTTCCCATTTAAGAATTTAACATGTTTTATTCTTTGCCTTTAGACACGTCCCTGCTCCTGCAGCCATTCTGCACAAAAGCCCAGTTCCTGAGTGGGAAAGCAAAGCAGGACCTGACAGAAAAGCTGGCTGGTAAAATGCTCTTTTCCTTTGCTCGTTTGGTTGGTTGGGTTCTCTTAATTAGGGAAATTAATTGCAAGGTGGAGGTGGCTCTGTACCTTCCCTTCTGTCTCAGGAGGTTGTGCAGCAGTTGTCACATTTCAGCTCTTTAATGGAAATTGGAGCTATTGCTGACAAAACAAAGCATTAGTATTGGTATTAATATTTGTATTATACAGTCAGATGAATTATCTATAAATACCTGGAATTTATAAATATTTATAAATATATTAAAGATTTAATTTACATTTAAATACCTCATATATTTAAATATCTTAAGGATTAACATTTATAAATACCTTAAGCATAGAATAATTTTAACATTTTGTATTCCCCCTCCCAGTGCTCATTCCCTCATGCTCTTGCCAGGAATCCAAACTGGTTTGGGGACCTTAAATCCCCCCCCAGTGCCACCCCTGCCATGGCAGGGACACCTCCCACTGTCCCAAAGGCCAAACCGGCCCTGGGAAATGCCAGGGATCCAGGGGCAGCCACAGCAAATCTGGGAATTCCAGCCCAGCCAGGAATTCCTTGAGAAAAGCTGAATTTCCATGTTTTAAATGAACAAGGAATGTCTTTATGGGAAATATGCTTGAACCAAACATTTCCTTGGCTCAGTCTCAGAGCAGTTCTGTGTGAAATGGAACTCAGTAACACAATGGACAGGCTGTTCTTGAAATATCCCCAAATTTATGTTTTCTGAGGGTGTTAAACAGCCTTTAAACAGTCCCTCCCTTGCTGGGATTTGTGCAGTGCTTTGTATTCTATGTCAGAAGAGGCTGTTCTGGCAGAGAGGGAAACATTTGCTAATGAAATTCATGCTTGAGGATCTATTCCAACCAAAATGATTCTGTGGTTTAATTGTCCAAGTAGGGAAAATATTGAATCCTATAAACATAGATATTTATTTTTATACATTTTTTATATATATGTGCAGAGCCAGGAGTTCTTGTGGGTCCCTTCCAGCTCAGGATATTCCATCATTCTATATTTACAGTCTAAGGCTAATTTTTTCTTAAATATCTACTGCTTATTTGTGAGATAGAGGGGAAATTGGAAATTACAGACCTTACACTATGAGAAATAAAGAGAGAATCCTAACTGAAAAAAAAAAACAACCTAAAATCCCTTTTATTTATTTTAGTTTGTTTAGCTTAATGGAAAAGTGTAATTATCAGCAGCACTGGTGCTCCTGTGTAAACTCCTGGGAGAGGATAAAGGGAGTGGTTGTGGGAAAATCTGGTATTTTTTTAATGGGAGCTGATGATGTTGCAACAGCAAACTCTTGTGTACAGCAGCAGTTTGAGGAGATGATTTAAGGGCTTTTAAACCACTCTCACAGGCAGGCATCACATCAGAATTGTGAAATTGTAATTTAAATGAACACTTTATTCTGACCCCTGCTTGCAGAGCTGGTGCTGGAGCTCAAAACTGGGAATCCCATCAGAATTGTAATTTAAATTAATATTTTATTGCAGAGCTGGTGATGGAGCTGTACCCCTCTCAAAGCTGGGGATCCCATGGGAATTGTAACTGAAATGAATATTTTATCCTTGCAGAGCTGGTGCAGGGGCTGTACCCACGCAAGCCCTGTGCTGTGGAGCAGAAGGTGCTGCCCGTGCTGTGGCACCTGCTGGGCAGCTCGGCCAGCAGCAGCTCCGTGCCCACAGCCAGCTTGGCACAGGCCCTGTGGGCACAGATGGGCCCTGGGCTGCTGGCCCACGCTGCTGCCCAGCCCCCACACGTCAGGAAGAACCTGCAGGAGATTTTGGAGACGGGAACATAAAATGGCCACGACTGCAGGTAAAGCTCCATGGGCACAGCATGGACAGTGTGGGCAGGGACAGCCCTGGGCTGGAATGGGAGAGCCTGGGGAGCTGAACTGGGCTGGACTGGGAGAGCCTGGGGAGCTGAACTGGGAGAGCCTGGGGAGCTGAACTGGGCTGGACTGGGAGAGCCTGGGGAGCTGAACTGGGCTGGGCTGGGAGAGCCTGGGGAGCTGAACTGGGAGAGTTTGGGGAGCTGAACTGGGCTGGACTGGGAGAGCCTGGGGAGCTGAACTGGGAGAGTTTGGGGAGCTGAACTGGGCTGGACTGGGAGAGCCTGGGGAGCTGAACTGGGCTGGGATGGGAGAGCCTGGGGAGCTGAACTGGGAGAGCCTGGGGAGCTGAACTGGGAAAGCCTGGGGAGCTGAACTGGGAGAGTTTGGGGAGCTGAACTGGGCCATACTGGGCCAGCCTGCAGGGCTGAAGTGGGCCAGGGTGTGGGGCTGAAGTGGGCCATGCTGGGAGAGCTGTGCTGGGCAGGGTGGGGATGGCTCCCCTCACTGTCATGAGGGCCATGGAGGAGCTGCTCCAGCCCATCTGTGCTTCCCTTCAGAGGCTCCAGCCCAGGACTGTCCCTGGATTGCTCATGAAGAACCACACGGTCACATCAGCACTGGGCTTTACATGGAAAAGTGGAAGACAATCCTGGACACAGTGATGCAGTGCTCTTTGTGAAAAACATGTATTTTTGTACCCCCACAGGCAGTGGTGCAGTATTTGTTGTCTCAGGGCTGGGCAGTGGGGAGAATGAACCCCAACCCTTCTCCTTCCCCAGCTGTGGGCTCTGGACACATTGGACAATGGGACACAATGGGATATATAAATAAAGGGATTTATTTCTGTACAGGGATGTATTTCTGCAAAGGTGTGGGGAGAAGTGGCTCAAGAGCTGCTCTGCTCGAAGGAACATGGTGACAGCAGCTGAATGTGAGCCCAGGTGTGCCAAGGGGGTCCAGGAACAGCAGCAGGAGCAGAGCAGTGACTGTCCCCCTGTGCTGGCACTGCTGAGGCACCTCCAGTCCTGGGATCAGCCCTGGGCCCCTGGCTTTGAAAGGGACATGGAGGGGCTGGAGCATGTCCAGGGAAGGGAAGGGAATGGAGAATTCCTGAGGGAGCTGGGAAGGGAATGGAGAATTCCTGAGGGAGCTGGGAAGGG